CAGGATCTCTAAAAACCAGGCCACTCTTTTGGCAACAGGGAGGTTAGCAGGGTAGTGCACCTTGGGACAGCATGTGTTTAAGACTGGTATGTTAAAAGCTGCACAAAGCTCTTGGGCCTTTCTGTTAAACTTCAATACCATTTTGGCTAATAATGGCAATGATCCAGCACATAGATTGAAGGTGCACAACTAAAGCACCGTGTTATACCAAACATGTCACACAAGTTGTTATATATACACTTATATATAAAAGTCACTGTATAGCTATATATACATACAGCCATGTATCATTTCTATATATATTTGTAGATTCTATGACTGTGGCAGTGTTTGTAGAGGTGAGTAGGATAAACCTTGCAAATGCAACATGTTTGATTGTGAAGTCATGGAAAAAGCATCAAGCCATGAATTTTTCTGCCTAGAATTTTCCTAACAGCCTGTGGTTTTTTAAGCTGTAATCCCCTCAGAGGATTTTTAATTGTTCATGGATTCATTGATTGATTGATAAATACCTTTTACTTAACATCAGTTACCCTGAAGTATCTTTTAGATTTGTGACTCCAACACTGTAGAAAATGTTTAGTAGAAAAGGATTCCATATGGAGTGGTAAAGATGTACCATAGTTTAAAAAATAAAGGAAGAAAACTTCCTGGTACAGTCAGTATTTCTTTGGTAACTTAATTCACATTTCTGTGCCTTTAGGATTCGAGGCCTCGCGCCTTCCTCATAGGCTGCATCGGAGTCAGTGGCAAGACCAAGTGGGATGTCCTGGATGGGGTTGTGAGACGGTTGTTTAAGGTCAGTGAGCACAGTGCTTGGATCCTCCTGTTAGATGTTGGTGGTACCAAGCAATATTGCACTTGCTGTGATTATTGCTGTGCTAGCACAGAACAAAGGCCCAGAGGTTTCGGTGCTGCCTCACTTTCCATGTCCCTTTCCCACTCCAGGAGTACATCATCCACGTGGATCCCATGAGCCAGCTGGGCCTGAATTCAGACAGTGTCCTGGGCTACAGCATTGGAGAAATCAAACGCACTAACAGCGCGGAGACACCGGAGCTGTTGCCCTGTGGCTATCTGGTTGGAGAAAACAACACTATTTCAGTTACCATCAAAGGTAATTATGCTTGACCTGTCTGTTGTAGTTCTCACTAATTACAGTTGTATCAAAACTCGCTGTGCGAAGAAGCTCAGAGGTGTAGAAACTTCTTATTGCCTTTTTTTCCCCATCCCTGACTTTTATTTACTGGTCCTTCTATTTTTACTTGATAAAGACACCACTTAGAGCATGCTAAGTCTATACATACAGCAAATTTTCAACAGTAGGAATAATTACACACACAGCAGTTTTCTCCAAATATTTTGAATTGATGCCTGGAGTTGTCCTGGAGAAGACCTCACAGCACAAAGGACATAGTGGAGTTGTCTGAGCAGCAAAGTACCTTCCAGATTAATAATAAAGCCTCAGAATTGTATTACCTGTTTGTAACAACTGTGATTTCCTTCATGTGGAGTAAAAAAAGTCTTGATTTGACTTGCTTACTTGTTCTCTCTGAGGAGTCCCTCCCTAAGCACCAGTAAGGAGGGACCCCAGAATTCGTGGGACACCTTGAAATCTGGCTTTTTTTCAAAATGTGTGATTTTCAGATTTCTCATCAATTTCATTATATCACAGTGATAAGAATGTAACGCTTCTGTTTCTCATATGGTTTCTCATTCACTGTCTTGGGCACCAATTTTCATGTGAAAACTATGCTCTGAAACTAGATTTAGGAGAAAAAATTCCCAGCTTCAGTGTTTTGAATGTACATCAGTTTGTTCAAAATTACCCCAGTGAAATCTGGAGCATAGATCTGTATTCATATGGTAGAGTATTTGACAGCATTGCCAGACACTCTGCAGCTCAGCTTTGAAATTAGGCTGTGACATTTGACTGAAAGTAGTTTTGATTTTTGAATATTGGTTTTAAAAAAATCACTTCCCTTGGGTAGCAAATCAGTGGGCAGGAAGACAAAATAAGCCATGAAATATCTCAATTTACTGAGGCTTGATGTGACCCCAGGGTATGGTGCTTACTTAAAATACCTTGTCCAATAGTAAATCCCAATTGGAATATTGCTTGAGGTCTAGCCATATCTGTAAAACTGCCATCTGATTTTATATTTAACTTGTATTGGCTTGACTTGTAGTTTGAAGGTTCACATGTGATAACAGTTTTCAATAAAATGGAAATGTGTTTAATCAATTTATGGAAAATCACTTACACATACCTTGGAGACATAAAGCTGCCTATATAAATATTTCATATTCTGAGCTACCGTTGAGGTGCAAACATTTCTCTGTGTGATCTGCCAACTGCCCTTTCTGCTGTTTATTTTGAAACTCTGTGTATTTTCTCTGAGCCAATTCTGCCTAAAGTGACTGCTGACATTGCGTAAATGCTTATCAGTAGGAGCTTTCTGTTAGGAGAGATAAGTATCAGCATACAGAGAAGGAGTTTAATTACAAGGTTTGGGAAAGTAGGGGGAGTTGATGATAGCTGGGGTTTGGTTTTTTTGGTCTAGTGAATCAAAAGGAAACAGGTAAATTCTGGATGACTGTGCGCTATGCATAGTGAAATCCTGCAACACAGATGGTTTGTGTGTGAAAAATGTGGCCTGGAATAATTTGTGCAGCAATTTCCTAGGGCCTCAGACACAAGCCAGTCCTTTGAAAACTGGGAGGGCTGGAGGAACCAAGCTAAGCCCATAGGTCCCTTCTGCACTTGTGTTAGCAGCTTTCTATGGGCTCCTCAGCCACAACAGCTTGGGCAAGTCAGATCTGAATCTGTTGTTTCTGAGTGGTTTTGGGGGGTTGTGTTACTGGCCCCTAAAAAACGACTTTTTTTTTTTTAGTTTTCCAGTTTGACGGTCTAGTTATTTCAACTAATCTTGATTTGTTCAAACTTCACAAAGGGATTTTGCAGCATAGCAAAACCAAAAAAACAACAACAACAAAACTTTCTAAAATGCAGGTAACTTGGCTGAAAAACTGTAAATCCCTCTACATGAGCAATCTTTCCTTATTTCAGGTATCTGTGAGAACAGTCTGGATGGGCTGGTGTTTGAATCCCTGATCCCAAAGCCTATACTGCAGCGTTATGTCTCTCTCCTGATGGAACACAGGCGGATTATCTTGTCTGGCCCCAGTGGCACTGGTAAAACATACCTGGCAAACCGTCTGTCAGAGTACATGGTCCTCAGAGAGGGCAGGGAGTTGGCCGAGGGCATTATTGCAACCTTCAACGTGGACCATAAATCCAGTAAGGTGAGGAAACAGGAAACCATCCTTGCACCATTAAAGCTGCTGTGCAGCAGAAAGGAGAGAACTCCTCCTTTATTCAACCAATGAAAGCTAGTTTTGAACTTTCTTCAATCTTTCTTTTAAAAGGATTATCTGAATCCTGAAGGGAATACTATTTGAGATTCTCAGAGCTACAGATTCACCACATTATAGGCCTGAAAGACCAAGCTTCCAGGTGTATATTTAAACACCTAAAGGTGTCACCGTTTGCGAGTGGTTAGGAGCCCAAGAGTCACTGAGGAAGCTAAACACCTACATAAAATTCCCAGCAACTCAAGCAAATCCTATTGCATGTGGGCATTTTTCCAAAAACCCTCAAATGCATCTTTAGGCTGTCAAGAGTTTCTGCAGCTGCAAGTATCAGCAGTTGAATCTATGGACGCTAGGTTGGGAATGACTATTGTCCAGACACATTCTTGCACTGGTGAGGCATGTCTCTGCTTTTTTATTGGTTTTGCTGAAAGTACCTCTAGTGAACATCTAGATTAAAGAAAAAGAACCTGTTTTTTTTATTGCCTTAGGCACATTTTCCTTTGGAGGAAAGGGATGGTTGAAATTATAGCTATAGGACACTGGTATAATTTGAGACATTCTGAGAAATAAATGTTTTAAAGCTGCTGAGAGTGTTTCAACCACACCCAGTCACCCAGCAGCAGCCCCACAAGCTCATCTTCCTTTCAGGGCATTACTGCAGACATCCAAATTTGGCCTCTGCTGAGGGATGCTTTATTCCAGGTTCATTTTCTCAGCTGTATTTTGGATAGACACACAGTTGCAAGAAGATATAACAAACCTAGGTGGGATGCAGAGTTTGATTTGGTTTATGGAGAGTTTTGGAAAAGAAAGAAAACCAGGTTTCAGCCTCAGAGTCTCAGGTTAGCACAGCACAAATGAAAAACCAAACCAAACAAAAACATCTTACCCCCCTTCAGCCCTTCTTTCACACTGGATTTCTTATATAGTCTTTGCATCTTCAGCATAAGCCACAAAAGAGAAACAAACCCATATTCTTCTTTTTTTCTCATGGAAAATGGGTGCATTTGTATGATGGCAGGCTCATTTGCTTTAGATTTCATGACAAAGCCAGTAGCTTATTTATCTTAACTGGATTTTTCAAGGAATATTATGAAAACTGAATTTTTTTTCTTGCTGTGCTTTGCAGGAGCTCCGCCAATACCTGTCCAACCTAGCAGACCAGTGTAACAGTGAGAATAATGCTGTGGATATGCCTCTTGTCATCATTTTGGATAATCTGCATCATGTTAGCTCCCTGGGAGAGATCTTCAATGGACTTCTAAACTGCAAATACCACAAATGGTAAAGAAAGGATATCAGCACACATTGCAGATGTCAGTAGGGCAGTCAAGCCACGGCCGTTGGAAAGTGTGATCCCAAAACCAAATTCTAGATTAATTTGGTAAAGTGGACTGAGATGGCTGGGCTGTCCATATCATGGACAGCACTTCAGAGGTTTTTTCTTCATAAAATGATCAATTCCTCTGAAATAAGTAATATAAAAAGTAGTAGAAAGTTTGGGTATTTTGCATTCACTTCATGAAGTAAATCTTCTAGGACTGAACCCACATTTTTAGTGAAAGTTCCTGCTTTGAGATTTCTGTTTTGCTTTCAGAGCTTTATGTTCTCAGTAGAGTTTGGTTATAAGTAACTACAATAACTTTATTTGCCAGAAGAGGTTTGAATAATCTTTTGTAATGTTGAGTTCCTACTAAAAATTTGTTTTTCAAAATTTACGAGTATGATTTGCTTGATTTTTTAATATTTTTTTCTTAATAGTCCTTATATTATTGGCACAATGAACCAAGCCACCTCCTCAACACCTAATCTTCAACTTCACCATAATTTCAGGTACTGTTTATTCATGTTTCTTATTTATGTTTTGGGGTTGGCAAAGGAGTAATGGCTACTGAGTCATCTGAAATTGTTTTTATCAGCTGAAATAGCAAATGGAGAAAGAAATACCATTTTCTACTCCTTGCTGCCCGAACATGTGCAGCTTTGTTATGATGCTGTTATTAAAGTAACTGCCCTTCATAAAACTTTTCCTTCTCAGAGGATTGCTAAGATAGTTTATCCTCTAGCAAATTCTAAATAAGATTATAGGCAAAGCAAATATTGAAGGAGAAAGAGGCTGAAACAATGAACAGTACAAATTATTTCATCTAGTGAACTCGTCCTTCCAAAATTATTTTTGCCAAGAAACTGGGATAACCCATTTTGATCATGATAATAATTTAGAAATAACAAAAGGAATTTAGCCCAGAAGTGGTATGTTCAGTAGCATGAAAGAGAAATAATGGACATTTCTGCTGTTCTGCCACAGATGGGTGCTATGTGCTAACCACACTGAGCCAGTCAAAGGCTTCCTTGGCCGTTTCTTGAGAAGAAAACTGATTGAAACAGAGATCAGTGGCAGGATGAGAAATGCAGAGCTGGTTAAGATTATTGATTGGATTCCCAAAGTCTGGCAACATCTGAACAAATTCTTGGAGGCTCACAGCTCCTCTGATGTTACTATTGGTAAGTGCTCTGCCCATATGCCTGAGCGTATGTAAAAGTGTATATATAATTTCCTTGTATATCAAATGCATCCTTGTATGTTTCCTTGTGCTACACCAGGTAAAAAAGGTTTCTTTGAAACCCTGCTTTTAGATGGCAGTGTACTCTCAGGCAATCCGTACAAGTTTCTGAACTTCTATCTTAATTATTTTTTCTAAGAAAAAATGACCTCTTTTAAAATTTAGTCTTAGTCCTAGATACAAACTGTATTATGGAATCTGGTTAATTGTTTTCACCTCGAAGGCTGTAGTTTTTCAAGTTGATTCAGAGGCTTTTTGAGCCCTCAAAAAAAAACAATTCACCAGATACCTATTTTTGTTCTCTCATCCTTGGCTTCTTCCTCCAGAGAACTGGAAGTTGTTGTTTGATCCTGTTTTGAGGCATACCATGATCACAATTTGAGTTTAACATCTGAATTTCCCTTTCCAGGTCCACGGCTCTTCCTCTCATGCCCGATAGATGTAGATGGTTCTAGAGTTTGGTTTACTGACTTGTGGAACTACTCCATCATCCCATATCTTCTGGAGGCAGTTAGAGAAGGGCTACAGGTGAGCAGGCAAACATGAAAAAACCTAAGTCTTGAGTGGTGTCTGTTTAAAAGGCAACACAGCATCAGTCAGAATTGAATAAGTTTCTGTATGTATAACTTTGCACACTGAATACCTGCATGTTTGTGAATGTAGCTGAAATTGCTATTAATTTCAGGCAGAATTATTCTCTTCATTTTGAAATATGATGTGGAAGCACTAAAGTCCAGATGAGACTTTCTTAAAAAGGTGTTTAGATACCAAATTACTCATGTTTTCAGTGGGAGCAGTAAGACACTCAAGTATCTTTCAATCTGTTCCAGAAGCACACCTTAAAATCCTTCTGTGCATCTGAAAAACATGTTTGTGGTCATTAACTTAGTTATGCAGATTTTTCCTTTGTAAATCAAATCTCTCAACAGAGCAGGAACAAAGCTTGTAATGGAGAGAAATGTATTAATGAGTGACAGAAACAGTATCCATGACATTTTGATTACTCCTTAGTCTACAAGATTAATTTCTTATTAGATTCCTTCATAATTCTTTCAAAGGCCAGAGTGAAATCATCAGTTGCCTGTACTTAGTAACTGGCTCATACTTAAGCAAGCTGGATATTTTTAAGCATTCCCACACAATTCTTAGTGTCTCTGTGACAATAAAGCATGTTGGCATCAGGAGAAGGGTTCAACAGAGGATTGCTATTGTCTTCCCGTGCAACTATGGAAAAAATAACCCTTTTTTATTCTTCAGTCCTCTGTTCACAGAATAACACAACATTTAAAAAGTAGTTTTGGAGGTAGCATCATCAGTTATTAGTACATTCTGTGCTGCATGAAAGCTGAAAGCAAGAACACACATGGAAATTAAAAGGTAGATCACAGTGAGACTCTAGAAGGGTGAAAAAGGGCCAAAGATTGATGGAAAACAGACAATTATGGCAATGCTTTGGGAGCTTGTGTTTTGGTGAGAAGACAAATGTCATTAACTGTAATTACATCTGATAGAGGTAGGAAGAGAATGGTACTTTTGTATGTAAAAAAACCCCACAACTTATTAGAAAGGTGAAGTGGAAAGGGTTCAGAAAAGAGCAGTGGGGATCATTCAGATACATGAAACATTATTCAATGAGAGAGGTGAGAAACTTGAATTACTCAAGTTTCTTCAAGAGGAATCCAAAATATTGCTTTCTCTATGCAGGGAAATAAAGTCTAGTGGATGTGTGACAAGTTTGGATGAGAAAATTCAAACTATGAGCAACACATAGCTTGTTACTAGTAAGAATAATTAACAGTTACAAAACTTAGGTAAGCAATAGGTTCTCCATCACATATGTCTCTCTCTGAAGTCTTTCTGAAACACGAAATAACTCCAAGTGTGAGCTCCATGGGGATGAACAGTTCTCTCCATTCTGCTCCTGCTTAGGGCTCACCAGTGCCATGTTCCTCAGGATGCTTTGCCTTTGAGATATGTAAAAAAAGTGTGAAAGATTTCTTTTGGAAAATACTAGGAGTTTTATTTGCTTGTGTGTTACTTTTCTGTGTAACACCCTTTTGTATTAGAGGTTCAGCTGTTGCCTGCATGGGAGTTACCTGCAGAGAATGGAGTAATCATGAAGATGCACCAGTCTGAGTGCTTGGAAGGAGTACGAAAAAAAAACCTAAATGAGTTTTTACATTGTCCAGTAAACAACCACCTTGGGTTTCATTTGCTGTCTGTACAACAGAGATCACAGATATTAACAGAGAGAGGGAGGACAACCCTGTCACAGAAAATTGCTTTTATTAATGGCTCCTTATAGTTCTGTGAAACATGTTAATTCTTCAACAAGTTTGGTCAGAATTTGTGCAAACTGCAGTTTGTCAGGGCTGAACACCTCATTTTCTTTGAGACAATTGTGTTAAGGTCTTAGATGTGAAGAACATGATAGGTCCTAAGGTACAACACATACACGTGAACTTTTCTAGAACAGGAGAACCATTTTATGTGAACCTTCCTATAAAGAAAGCTAATGGGAACCAATAATCTTTTTGACCTAAAACAAGTAGCATGAGAGCATGTTACTTTTGTTTCCTCACGGAAAGGAGAAAGCTGATACTCACAGTGATGCTGGGGCTCCTTGCACTGTGTTTTGAAGCTCTCCTATCAGCTGATCAGTAGGTGTGGAAAGCATTGAAAAATGAGTAACAGAAACGCAGAGAAAGAACAAGTGAAACAGTTTTTTTGCTTCCTTGTTTTATCCAATATCTGCACCTTTCCTGAGGTCATTGGAACGGCTTGTGTTCCCAGTGTAAGGTTTTCAGTTCTTTACTTTGTGCTGTAGATTCTGTATTCACTTCAGTCCCATTTCCCCAGGTTTCCCTAGTTTAATTTTAAATAATTTGTCAATTTCTTCTAGAATTTCTCTGCTGTTGAATTTGTGGATAAGAATAAGACTTCAGTACCTGAAGAGTAGCCAAGATTTGTGCTAATTAACATGTTGATGCTAGTAATGCATGGTTTGCTTTTGGCTTTTTTCTGTCCCCCACACCCTCAAAGGCTCCTCCAAGAACACATCTTCTCTCATGAAATTGCCTGCCAGAAGGGAAGGGTGGACTGCTGATTTCACTCTGATCTCTGTGGATCTAAATAGAGCTATTTTAATGCATCTGTTTCTCATTTAGAGAAAAATTTTGGGTCAAAGTCAAGTGGGCCAAATGGATCCTTAACTATGATTGCTCCCATTGGAGCCTGGTTTTTTTGTTCTTCAAAACAGGGATGAGAAAATTAGAGGGTTGCATAAAACCCCATTCTTCCTGCTCAGTGTATCAACACAGAATGCAGCACCATCTAAAAAGAAGACCCCAAATCCCTGCAGCTTCCTGCCACTGTCACTTGTGCTCTATAGTGCCTTGTGAAGAAACCTGCTTGAGTCTTACCCCCTTAATTGCTCTCTAGAAAATGTGCACATGAAAGGGATGGACAGAACTGGTTGCTGTGGAAGGGAATAGTCATTCAGTCTCCCATCTGCTGAGGACAGGGGCAGATTTCATATCTTGAAATGGGAATTTTACTTTATAGCTAATGTTTGGAAAGGAGCTGGGATCCAACCGGACCTTTTAGGTAGCAAAGACATGTGAAAAATACAAAATCCTCTCCACTTAGCAGCTGACATGTATTGCTACATTCCAGAACATGATGAAAATAGGAGATCTCGGTTACAACAGCTTGAAGACATTGTGCTGGGAAAATAATCTAGTACAGCTGAAGGCTGCAGGGTGTTTGCGCTGGGGAGGAGGCTGTGTTGCAGGTGGCCTAGCACCATCTGCTGGTTTCTCTGCTCTGGGACTTGCTTCCTTCTGCTTCAGAAGAAAGCAGGAGTTGGTCTTTAGAGCAATTTAATTTTAATTGGTTTGTGCATGGCATTTGGCTGCCATCTATTCACAGAGCTGGCATTCACATCTGTCATCTAAGTTTCACTTAAATTTAAGTGGCTGTGGTAGAATCAAGGACTGGTGTTTGTAAATTAAGACAGATTTTCAAAGAAAGAGGCTGTGAACTGTAGTTCACATCATTTAGAAAAAGAGCCATTGGTATTCCCTAATATTACCTAGGAATGTCTGCCAAGGTGCTATTCTGACAGCATATGCCTGATGTAGACATGCAGAAACACTCTGCTGCCATGCAGGAAGGTCAGATGTGGGTTCATTAACCCCACATCTAGATGAAAAGTCTTTTTCACTCCATTTGGATGCAGCATTTTGGGGACATGGTTGTACTGGAAGCAGAAATATGTATGTACAGTTCACTTGTGTGGTGCAAGAATGTTCTGGTGACTTCTGGTAAAGTGAACAGCTCAAAAGCTCAAAGGTTTACCCAAACTGTTCCTGTTTGGCAATGAGGAGGGTAACAAAATGGGTGCCCACAAAAAACCAAGAAGAAATAGCAGTGAGGAAAATGAGATAGTCTTAAATCCATCCGAGCTGGTGACTTTTCTGTGTTAGACCACTGCTTTTATCCCTGTGCCTTGTGCAGGAGAGGGAGGGTTCTTGGAATTCAAGTGACAAAATGCCAGTGACAAGCCTCAGTTGCTAAAGGATATTTAGACTGAAAGGTATTAAAAAGAAGTCAACTTTTAAAAAGTCATTTGAAGTTGAATTTATGCTTTTAAAAGTCATGCAGCATTAAAATGAATTTGTTAACTAATTAAGGAAAACTTTACAGAATATCACAAGAAGAATATTTTGCGACTCAGTAACACAGTCTGTTCAAAACAGGAAAAGTTTTTGAAATAGAGCTTGCCTACTTGAAATAGGAACATGAGCATGGCCAAATCCTGCTGGTGGTTTTTCTTGGTTGATTACAAAGAAATTGCCCTGACTTGAAACCCTTTTGCTGTGACATCCATCATTACAGCCTGATGACAGGTCTCCCGTTTCCGCTGACACATTCCACCACCAGCGGTTTCCCAACGATAGCCAGGGTAGATAAGGCAGCTGCTGCTGTGCTCCGGGTGACAACATGCACGGCCTCTTTCCTGTGTTGACTTTATTTAAGGTTATTAAGCAAGGTTATTTTCAGGTCTCCTTTTTCCTTCCAACTGCTGCCAACTGAAGGGCGCTGAATCTCAGAGGAGGTGCTCAGCTGCTTCCAAACCCATTGCCATTAAAAATAGCAGAAACTTTGTATGTCACGAGGGTGAGGGAAGTCAAATTTGTTTGTGTTCAGCCCCACTTGCAAGTGGTTTCTGCCATCCCAAACTGATGGCACCTTCATTTTGGTACAGGAGGCACTGAGTGGAATGGTGGACTAGGGATGTTTTACATGTCCTGATGTTTTCCAGCTGTATGGGAGGAGAGCACCCTGGGAGGACCCTGCCAAATGGGTAATGGACACCTACCCCTGGGCAGCCACCCCACAGCACCACGAGTGGCCTCCTCTGCTCCAGCTGCGGCCTGAAGACGTGGGCTTTGATGGCTACTCCATGTCCCGGGAGGGCTCGACCAGCAAACAAGTTCCAGTGAGTGATGCTGAAGGAGATCCTTTGGTAAGCTCTTGTTTTTGGAACAGCAGAACCACTTCATTTCCCTTGTTCTTAGGGATTAGAAGCAGGAATTTTAAAAGTAAAATAGTTTTAAGGAGTGTTTAAAAGTTTTAGAACGAGAAGCCAAGTTTCTGGGGAAGTTTCTTCTGGGGAAGAAGTTTTCTTTCTTGGGAAGCCAAGTAGTCAAGTCAGCTCGAGGAATGTGTTTGCACAGAAAGCATGTGTGGTTTTGCAAGAAACAGCAGCAGAAGCTTCTCATATCCATTTGTTGAGGATTCTTTGAGAGGATTAATGTTTTGAGGAGTGGCTGAGGATGCGTCTAATAAACGTAATTTCTACACCGCAATTAAACGTGATCTTGTCACACACACTCAAATAACACAGTGGAGCCATTTTATTTAGCCTGTTTTGCCACAGTCACAAAATAGGCTTGTTGCCTTGCTTCATGTGGATTTTAAAGCTTTGACACCAAAAGAAAGTAGAGATTTTCAAAGAATATATGAACTAATAGTTTCCATGACCAGTGTGTAATTTATGAATCAGAAATACCATGCAAGCATATAGAGAAATGTTCGCATATCCTTGTATAGGAAGTATAAATTGAGCTTGAAGGTAGGGATAAATACAGGTTTTCTTCCAATTGCAATAGTTATTGAAGCTGCTGTGCAAACTGTGACTGTCCTGTGGCTGTTCTGGTGAAGTGTACATTTTTCTGGACAGTTGGGAGCATAGAATGTGTGTTACTCTTTTCATTACCTCACGTATACATATAAACATACCCAGCTGGATATTAGAACTTTTGGATTTGCCCCTTTTCATTGTTCTGTCTGTATTTCCATGGGTCAGAGCAAGAGAGTGGTAGGATGTTTGCAGAATCCTGTTGAGTTCAGCTGTGGACTGATTCCTTCGATCTTCCTCTTCTCAGCTTCACTGGAAAAGCATGTTTTCATGTCTAACTTGCATGCTGCTATGACATGTTCTATAGTTAATATAACTTCTCAGAGATTCAGTATTAACCACCTCAGCTGCCTCTTCCTTTCCTTTGTTTATCCACTGGCAAAGTGTAGCTTTCATATGGAGTTGATACTCTTTCTACCTCAGAATGCAATAATGAACTCCTGTGCCATTGCAGATGAACATGCTCATGAGGCTGCAAGAAGCAGCCAACTATTCGAGCCCGCAGAGCTACGACAGTGACTCCAACAGCAACAGCCACCACGATGACATCCTCGATTCGTCTCTGGAGTCCACGTTGTGATCTTCCTCGGATAGAAACAGGTCGTTTCCATTATTGCTCTCCCACTTGGCAAGAACCCTGATCACAGACTCACGAAAAGAACATGGTCCTGGGCTGGGCTGGGATCTTAGTATTAGAGCTGCAAGAACAATGAGACACTTAGAGTCAGTCTTGAACCTGGGTGCAGGCAACCCAAGCAACCTTTTTATTGTTTTTCTTTTGACGATGATGAGAACTGCACTATTCCTTTGGTTTCTTCTGTTTAGTTGCTGTAAGCTCTCATGCCTAAGATACTGAAGATGTTGAAAATAATCATCATTGCTAAAAGTTGAAGGGCGGTGGGGGGGAACTTCACAGCCATGAAGCAAACAGCTTTGTGCCATGTACTGTCCAGAAGGAAAGGGGAGAGGAAATTTTTGCTTATGCTGCTTCTGACCAAACACGTTTAGGTGAGGGCTGGACTTTTACCAATCAGCTTTGTGGATTAAACTCAGCTTCAACTAATACTGGTGCTATAAACTATATTGCTTGCCTTGGTAATAATACTCAATAAAGGCAAAGCTGCAAAAACAGGGAAGCTTGAATAAATATTCAAAAAAGAGAAGAAAGAAAATAACTTTTTTTTTTTTTTTTTAAAAGGAAAAGAGCTGCTCTCCTTGCCAGTCTGAGACCTTGGCTTTCTTTTATAAAGAGATATATATAAATAGGAATATATAAGAATATATATACAGTCTGAACAAATCAGGTTTTTTCCAACACTGTGTAACACTCAATCCTGCTACAAGTGAAAGGTCAGGTAGCCCTTTGGTAGTCAGGGCCTGATTCTCTTCCCACGTACATCCATGTAACCAACACTGTTGACTTCTGTGGCATTACACCAAATTAATTTACCCTGATGCAAGTAAGTTTCCCTCCTCTGCAGTCAGTGACAGGGTCATGCCCCAGGGTGTGAGCCCTGCACCTGGAGGTGAGCTACACCCCTGGAAAGGGATTAATTGGACTTTCAGTTTTTAATTCTTGCCATGAAATGTTACAGCTGTTCTCTAAAAACTTGGGGTTTTGTTCAGAGTTTTTTGTTCCCATCAGCACAACCATAAATGGGTTAGTTAAAACTCAGCTCTGTGACAGTTCCAGTGCTACTCTGGTGACAACATTTACTTCCATTACTTTTCTTTTTAATTGAAAAAAAAAAAATTAAGAAAACTCTAGTCTTTTAGCAGTATTCAGGTCTGGAAAAAAAAGGAGGGAAGGTGCTGCATCTTTTAAGTTTAGCTGGGCCATGCTTTTGAGTAATGGCAGAGCTGTGAACCTGGGTTTATTTCTCCTCCTGTCTGAATGCACACACCTACACTATCAGTGTTAAGGCTGGTACTTCTGTTGAGGAACAGGAACACCTCCCAAAGAATTGCACTTTCCTTCTTATGGAAGCAAATACTGACACCATCACCACAACATCAGCTGTACCTCAGCAAAAACATCACTCCTCAGTAGTGATTTGTACTAGCCTTTCCAGCTATCTTTTGGTGCTCAATTTTAAAGCGATGCCTTATTTTGTACTAATTGTGTTTTGATTAAATTAGTGCTGTATATTATGGGATTTTATTTAAAGAAACAGGGCTAAAGTCATCTCTTGGAATATCATACGTTGCTGTGAATATTGTTTGTACAAGATACTAGAATCTATTTAAATGTGACAAAACAAAAAAGGAGGAAAATGAGATAACTTTTCAGGTTCATATCAATCCGCAGCTAATAAACTAAGAGCTGTTTTATCCATGCAGAAGGAAAAAAAAAAAAAAAGAAGCTTTTCAATTGTAATAAATGCTGTCATTAATAAATTACAGGAATATGCTGGTTTTTCAATGTACAGAAAGGAAACTTATTACACTTTTTTTAAGAGCTTGTGGGTTTAAAGTAATGTAACAGACAAGTTCATGCTTCTGTGACTCAGCTTAAGAGGATGGTTTTATTATACCTCATGACTTTCTGTAACATAACTGTACTTTGTCTTACTGAGCTGGTCTTGAATCTGCTCCTGTTACAACTTCTAAGTGCTGATGACTTTTTTTTTTTTTAAAGAAAAATATTGTAAAAGAAAAATTTAAATATTTTAATGAGGGGTGGGGGGGAAGAGCTTGGTGTTGTTAATGTTTTAACTTGATGAACTCTATTTCATTATTTTGCTCAATGAATTACCAAGGGTTACTCAGCCAATGTCCCTAATCCACTTCTTGGTACTGTAAAAATGGGATAAATCTGTATGGAATCAAATCCATAGCATGCTGGTGATGAGTTTCAGAGAGGTTAATTTTCCAATAGTCTTGACAGTTCTGCTTCCCAGCACTGACTTTACCTGCTACTACTGTGAATTTTGGTACCTAATCCCCCAACTGAATCCATGCAGATAAAGCATGTGCCTGTAAAAAAAATCCAGTTGCAGGGCTAGGGCTTTACATGGACTTTATATCCTAGAATATGTCTCAGTTAACCTTAAACTGAGTTCTATGAGAGATGTTTAAAATTAGGTTTTATTTGTGGGGAACGGGGTATTTTATTTTATTTTTCTTCTCATTTTTAATCCTGTGCTTAAGCTCAGGAAGAAGTTTCTGGGTTTTATTTTTTATTGACACTAGCTTGGATTCCAGTGAGCGAGGCAATTTTAAGTAGGCTAATCATTCTAAGCATCACAATATTCAGTCTCTTCTCTGAGACTTCGGGAAGCAGGGTTACCTGTTGTGCACACGTCTTAGTTTTTATCAGACTCTTCATAGTTTAAGTCTTTCTTTAAGTGACTTGGTTCTCATGTAAGGCTTTTTCAAAACACTTCCTTTTTGGTTTTTGCCTTTTCTTCCTTACAAAGTTGGCATGTTTAAAAAAAAAATCAAGAAGAAAGAAATGCAAGATTCTATGCAATATTGAGGTTGAGTTATAAATTGAAAGTATAAACCATTTTCTTTCATTCAGAACTGCCAAGAATTATACAGGCCATAAATGAGATGTGGTTTATTTGGGGGAAGGGGGGATGGGGGAGGGAGGGTTGGTTAGCCTTTTTGTACATTTTGGAAGAAGCAAACCGTTATTTCATTGTTGATGCTTAACTTCGATATTATGTGTATGAAATCTTGTCTAAATGTGGCCATTTTCTTTCCAGGAAAAAAAATAAAAATACAAAAAGCAAGCAAAAAAATCTTTGTCAATATTAAATGGAAGGTTGCTGTTTTGATCTAGTCATTTCCAGTGGAACAGTTTATGAAATATGTTCTATAAGATGTACATTTTTTCATTGTAACATAGAAATGTAAATATTTGATTAAAAGTGCTGCATTTTGATGAATTTTTTCTAGCCATTTTTAAAGAGAAAAACTAGGAATTGAGTATTTTGTGTACGTTTATGATGTTTTCCATTTGCTCCTCTCCCTATTTAATTTTCAGTTCTCATTTAGGATTGGAATTTGTGAATGGTCTGTTTGAGATCATGCCTCTCCTTTCTCACCCTCCCCGTTTCTCCTGCCTTCCCCTCCCCTGTGTCATGGAGAATAAAGCTGATGATTGTACCAGTCTTAAATTATTCATGATTCAATAAAATTGATGCTTATTTATTCAGATTTGTGGCTTCCCAGAACTTTGTCCCTTCTTAATAAAATTTTTCCTATTTTTTATTTGAAGATTGTAGGGTTCACTCTCGATTTTATTGGCTTCTTAGAAGTACTTGTGAATAGATGCCCACAGCTCTTCCCCACATCCAGGAGGAAATTTAGGGGGAATACACCAGTGTGATTCTCTCCCATACCTAATGTTTTACACAATTTAGAGTGTCTCTGCATAAAGCTCCAAGTCAGTCAATACATGGTCAGCAGGCTGGATCTATCCTGATACCAGCTGGTCCCAGGTCCTTGCTCAAGAGTAGTCCCTAAATGCCACAAGGGCTTCAGGTGGCAGGGTATGTTGGACTTATTCTGAACATGCTTGGCAGAATGAACTTCATAGAGTCATAGAATGGTTTGGGTTGGAAGGGATCTTTAAAGGTCAGCTAGTCTAGCCCCCCTGCAGTGAGCGGGAATCATAGAATTGTTAAGGTTGGAAGGGACCTTAGAGATCATCTACTTCCAACCCACCCGCCCCCATCCAACCTGACCATGAGTACTTCCAGGGATGGGAATGTTCTAGGAGTACTTAACTGGATGATCCTGAGCAGATCACACCGGTCACTTCCAATAAAACTATGACATCTTTTCATTTGCAGGGAAAAAAACCAAACCAAACAAACCCAAAACAAACAGAACAGTATTTTTCTGGTAACTTTATAAAGAAAAAGTATTTGCACCACTTGAATCTTCAAGCTGAGCTCTAGACTGTGTGCCCCAGCATTATGAGGCCATCTACAGGTCTTGGTTCACTTTGGTAGGTTTTTCAAATTATTTTTATTATCATCTCTGGGGAATTGATTTAAAGGAAAGAAACTTTGGGGCATTAAGCAATGTAGCTCATAGAATCAGAATAGTTTGGGTTGGAAGGGACCTTTGAAGGTCATCTAGTCCAACTTCTGCTGTGAGCAGGGCCATCTCCAACTAGATCAGATTGCTCAGATACACAAATGCTTCTGATTTGCTCCTTTGCTGGAGAGTCAAGAAGGATGAACCAGTTACAGGGGCTGGAGACTGTGGCCTGGCTCAGGATGGGTAATTCCTTCTCTTGTTCCTTTAAGAAGTTCACCCATATGGGATGGCAATTCTAACTTTAGATGAGATCCACGGGGAGCTGGGAGGAGGTCGTGCTTCAGTGAGATCATGTAGTAATCCTGCCTGAAAGACCATTGTACATCCAGGAGTTGGTGGTCCCAGCAGCAGTTACCTTGTGTTGGCCCAGGTCTCTGCTGGGCTCTGCTGCCCTGTGCTGGGAGACCAACCTGGCCACCAGCCCCGTGCTGAGTGGCACAAATCCCTCTTCCACAGGAGAAACTCCCAACAGCTCATTCTAACAGAGGAGCTGGGTACCTGAGATCAAACGTCCTGTGTGTCCTTGCCTTTATCTAACTGGGCAGCAAGAAGCTCTCATCAGTACCTCCTCTTTGCTAGACAGCAGAAATGATGGATAGAGCTGCTTCCTTGTAAGAAAAACTACAATAGTTCAAATGACAACAGCTATGGCTGTTGGGGATTGAAGGCCCCTTCAATGCTACACCCCTCAGGGTCCCCAAAGGGACAGAAGATTATCTCTGCCATTTTCATTTTACAGTGTTAGTTTTAATAAACAGCACTATTATGTCATGGAGTCTGAACGCCTTTCTCGCTGGGATGATAACGAACCAGCACCACCCAGTGCAAACCA